AAGTGCTAAGGCCTCATTATGAAAAGGTCTTAAATAAATGTGTTTTGATCCCAACCATGTAGCTACCATGCAAACCTCTGCTCTGTGTGCTTGTGGTTTGGAGAAATGACATACAAGGAAAAAAAACCATTCCTTTTGCTACTGTCAAAATAAATGTATAATTCATTGTATTTACTGCTCTTGACAGATTCCTCTGAAATCTCAGATGAGAATCGGAAAGGCTCCAGTGTCTCCAAGTGTCTTTTAAGATGACACTGTTCTGTGCTCTGCAGGCTGAAAGATTGTTTTGATTGTTAAAACAGTTTCTAATTTATGTTTTAAAAAGCTTCAGGAGCCAGGCAGTTCCCTGCTCTCTCAGAGGCCATTGAGTTAAAACAAGGTAGAGTGATTTGTCTTGCCTCAATTTAGCTGTAATGAGTATTAAGTGGTTTATCTATGTGGAGAAAAGTTACTCAGCTAGATTACATCCAAGTTGAATTACACCCTGTTCCAGATGGAGTATATTTTTTAAGACAGTAAATCTTGAGGAGGGTGGATAATAACAGTAATGGTCCTTCCTGGGATAGACTGCAATGCTTCTACCTCTTGTGGAGATAATGTGTGGAGCTGCATCCAATTAGTTTTTCAAAGGCTTTGTAAAGAAATGCAACTTCAGGTTTTACGGCTCTGTGAACAATTTTGCTTGAATCATTTACATTGTGCAAGTGAACGATGGCTAATGGTGATTATGGTTTTCATCCATTTTGCTGTTGTGTGTAGCAGCCTGGCAGGGCATGATGCCAACTCTCTCCCCGACTTCTTCTTCTGCACCAAGTGTGATGGCTGAGACAGGGAGGGTGTTGGGTGGGAGGTGAGATGTTTTGGTGGGAAATTCCTTCCCTCTGTTGCCGTCTGGTCCACCAAGGAACCCATTGCTCATGCAGCTGGTGCTTACGTCCCTGAGCAGTAACTGGACGAGGATGTTGGCCCCACAGGCATCCCAGGCAGCACAAGTGCCAGAGTATCCAAAAAGCTTATCCTTGGCCATGATCCTTTTGTGCTTCCCTGATACCTTACCTCCTCTTCACTGTGCCACACTTCTGCAGAGCCAGGTCTGGGAGCTGCTGGTGCCACCAAGGAGAGTGCATTTGGGCTGGTGAAGGTAGAGCAGTCCTCACATCTGGCAGCAGGCTTTGACAAGGCAATAAGTACCATTAAATTAATTTATAATGAAGGGGATGAGGGGGCCTGAGCTGTCAGTGCTTCGGCTCTCTGCCTCTCCTGGGTGGGTCAGTGGGGCCGTCCTTGGCCCATGGCTCTGGGGGAGGCAGGAGAGGAGGGAAACTCAGTGATAAGAGGAAGGTCAGAGGCAGAAAAATGTTGGGAATGTGTTTCTTGATTTAATGCGGGAGAGACCCAGGCTGGGGTTTCTCTGCTCAGCCCAGCAGTGTTACTGCCCGCTGTTATGAGAGTTACGGGATTTTTTTAAACTTGAGACCAAGATGCCAGTGTCTTGTCTGACACCTACCTCAACACAGGCAAGTCCAGAAGATGAAGGTGATGCATCTCTGAGGGCACAGTGAGGATAGTAGCTCTGAGCACTCTCAGCCTTTGCCTGAGATGGAGCATCTTCTGCTGACAAAACAACTCATTTGCTTTTTTCTTTTTTTTTATCCTCATACATTTTATGTTGTTGTGTAGTGTTTTCTGGCTAAGGTCAGACATTGAACATGGCTTTGGGGTTGGACAGTGGTGTTTGAAGAATTCTGCAAGTTTCAGAGCAGGCATTCAAGACTGTGGGTAGCAGTGGTGTACATTAGCTCCTGGGGATGCACAGCTTGCCTTCTGAGTAGTACTTGTTTTGTTGCAAGGGATATGAAACCAAAGTGTGGAAATAATTCTCTCTGCATTTCCTTTTTGTTGGCAACCATGCTCTGTTCTTTCCACCAACCAACCAGTCAGTCCTTGGAGCATTCAAGGGCCTGAACACAACAGCTTCTACCTCACAATTCATCAGCTTAATCTTAATTTTGTGTAGCTGTTAGCAGTGTGGGCACCCACCACTCGCACATGTTGAAGAGCTTGCCCATGAGGTTCAGGTTGCCAGCCTCCACCTTGGGTAACTTCCCACTGTGCTTGAGTGCAGAGCTGCTGGAGAGGACCTCCTGCAGTTTCTCTGCCCTCCATGGGCACAGAACTGTGATAAAGGGCTTGTTTGCATCAGAAATAGTTCCCATAAGCATTTGGTTTTGGTTGCTGTTCTTTGCAGACAACATGGTGTGGTGATCCACAATATAAACAGTAGTTATAAGAGAGTACAAAGGTGAGGGGGGCACTGCATACAGCAGGCTCCCTGCCGCTTGGAAAACAGGCTTGGACTACTAATGGGCAACAGGCTTAGTCAATACTGTGGTTCTTGTGCAGCCTGTGTTTGTTATGAGCATCACATTGAGATCTTCTTTAGCATTGTCTAGCATTTTTACACTTGTTTATGCAAGTGTTGCTGTCTGGGCAATTTAGGCACACAGAGACTGTGCTCAATCCAGAGGTGTATCTCTGATTTCCAGGTAGGCATGAATTGAGCCTCTCCTTTGACACTGCTTTGAATCCTTCCTTGGAGTTGCTTTGAAAGCCCTGACACTTTGAGATAAAAATCAGGATCTGCTGTATCAGGATCACTGCATTCATTGTGTGGAGGCACTCAGCTCTGCTGCTGCCCTGGCAGCATGTGGGTACTGGTGAAGCTGGACGGAAGGACAATTCATCTGACCAGATCTACCGATGAAGGCTGTCGTATTTAACAAACCAGTGGAAATGGTGGAGTCTCTGGTTGCCTTCAGACAGATCTGGAGACTGTTCTGGGAACTGTTTAACCGAATGGGTATTACTGGACTGAATTTAGGGGTATATTAAAGCACGGTGGTCTGGGGCACAGAGGAAGTCAGACCGGAGGGTCTGTGGTCCTCCTGGCTTTGTATTTGAATTTCAGACTCCCCTCTCACCTCGCTGGAAGACAGATTCATTACTAATTCAGTAAGTTTTCAAACTGGTGCTGAAATCTTGCTGACTTAAGCACCGATCTGCAGCATTATACTCATCACATTTTGATATGCATGACTAAATTCATGATGCTGTGAGGCAGGAGGCCTTTGTGGGGAAGGTGCTATGGATTGATCCTGTGACCTACTTGGTTTGCCCTCTTCTCTAACCTGGAGACTCCTCCCCTGTTGGGATAGTTGGTGGGCAGAGAAAGTTTGTGGTCCTGCAGCTGAAGATAGTATTGCTGTGAACCTTACCACCACTTAAACTGCTCACTGAACTTACATAGCTTCCTACAGTGTCTTCTTAACCTTTTTCATGATGACTCGTTTGGATTTCCTGGGTTTGGACAAAGCACAATTCAAACAAAAAAGTGAGCATGTTTCCTCTGAGAGTGTTTGTGCTTTAGATGGGCACTTGACTCTGATCTGTCCTGCTGTTCCTTTATGTGTGGTTTGGCACTTGTCTGTGGCAGCACTTTTTCAAGCATATTCCAATTTTTCTCTTGAACGGTCAAAGCGCTCTCAGTGATTAGCTGTAGCTTGCACGCTAGCTCTTCTGCTAAACTGCCCCCAGAGTGGCCAAGAAGCAGCATTCAGGCTTGTGCCGACTGCGTTTGGCAGCTACTGGCAAAGGCAAAGATAAGCTGTTTAGTGCAGTGCCAGCCTAAACCTTGCTTGTGTGCCTGGGCATGCGTCTGTGTGCGCAGAGATGCAGCCAGTGGTGCCTGCTAACCATGGCGGGCTGATCCTGCAAGGTGCTGGCACTCAGCGACGTGCACCGGCATTGGCATGGTTGTGTGAATGCCCGGTTCCTCGCTGATTCACGCACAGCAAGCAGTCCTGTGGCTTTTGCAGTCATGCTGTAATAAATGAAATGATGTAAAATATAACTCCATTTTGCATTTGTGTGGAAAGTGTTGAGTTTTTTTATATGCTTAAGCTGCAAAACTCTCTCCCCATTTTCCTCCCGCTGTAACAGCTTACAGCCTCTGTGACCAAAATTACAAGTGGAGGAGAAATTTTGCAAACATCCAGATGGATGGGAGGAACTATTGCAAACTGCTAAGCTATAATGAAAATGGAGAAAAGGTTTTCCCAGGTTCCTTTATTTTCTTCCCTGTGAAACATGCAAATGAGTTGCTTCAAAGCATGTTTCAAAACAAAAACCAGATGTTTTGGAGAGCAGTAAGCCACCCACAGAGCTCTCCAGCAAGTTATCTTCTACACCAGGTCACCCTGTCTGGTGTTGCTGTCTTACTGCAATGTTAAACTGGCCATTACATTCCTTCAGGTTGAATATTACCATTTTATGTGAGGTTATTCTGTATTTTATTGTCCTGGTAATTTTTCTGTTTAGTTTCACGGGCTTTCACTAGAAAAAACAGATGTCCTGCGTCGGCACTTGTGTGCATCAGGATGTGTACATGCTGCATCTCTGTGGCCTTGCTGTATACACTTCTTGCCCTTCTACAGTGCTGGGAGTTCTGGCAATTCTACCTCCTTGTAGAGCTGTGCTAGCAGCTTATTTCTGTGAGTTTTTCAGTTGTTTTTGAAAGAACGCGGCACGTGTGTGGAAGGGTTGTTTATTCAAACCTAAAAGGAAACATCTTGTTCTGTTATGAAGTGTTCTGGTGCATTTTAGATGAATGAGAATGACTTTCAAAGCTAGGAAAATTTTTCAAAGCTAGGAAAAAAACTTTTATAAAATTATAAACTACACTATTTCAACCTCACTTTCCTTCTGTACCCCCAACCAGGTGGCACTGATACAGATTCACAGAAGATGTTGCTGTTGCTGAATCTCAGCTTTTTAGTAAAAAAGCCTTTGGCAGAATCCCCTCCTTACCCTATAGACTTGGGATTTTATTTGTTAGGTCTTTCCCAAACTTGTCTTCCACAGAGTGGGCAAACATATCGCTGTCTGACAGTACTTGCCTGTAACACAAGAAGCTTCAACATATTTTTTTTCTTTTCCTAAAGATTCGTCTTCCAACTATATCAGGCAACTTGAAACAAAAGTGAAACTGCTGGAGGATGACAACAAGCTTCTTTCCCAGGTAAGTTTTTTATTGCCTAATAGGTATTAATGTAGCTCGGTTCTCCTGTTTCCATATAGTTGTGTCTGCCCACTTGAATGCACAAGGGCTTTCAGTGGACATCCTACCAGAGGAGAGCATAATGGTCTTTTCATATCAACCCCCACTGATAGAATTTGGTCTCCTTTTGTTTAAAAAAAAAAAAAAAAGAGGAAAAAAACCCAACCCTCTGTTATTGTCTGTGTGTATTTTGGAGATGCATTAATGCCTCCCTGCAGAACACCTTGATCCACCGCTGCTGTTGGGGATGCTGTGAGGGTCTGGCGCTGCCTGTGCCCCTGCTGTAGGATTTTGTCTTGCTTGCCCATTTACATTGACTTTTATCTTGTTGAAAGAGGAGGCTGTAGTCAAAGGACAGCCTTGGGAATAGTTTTGTGCATTGCTGGCTCCCAGCTTTTTTTTAAGATCATGCTTAAAGCCCAACAGACCTCTCTAAACTGTCACTTTTTCCTTGCATCTGTCCTTCAAAGTCTATTCCACGTGCCTTTGGCTTTTGATCACTCCTGCTGCTTACCTATCTGTATATAGCAACATCAAGCAGAGGGAAGAAAAGAGTCATTCTGTCTGGGATGTCCCCTGGATCCCCCATAAAACACAGCACTTGGTATAAACAGGGACAGCTTTGCCAAATTCAGTGAAACACTGTCTATTTAAACCATCGGAAGAGTTACCCTTTTTGTCTTATTCTTTGCATTCTTTCACTGTTGTATGTTCTACCTCCCTGGCATTTAAAAGTTTTTTTCTATTCTTTGCTTCTTACTTCAAGCACTGAGTTTCACAGTCATTTTGTTCCAGGTTCTTTCCAATAGTAAGGACAGGAAATAAAAAAACTTGCTCTTAATTATTTTTTCTTTTAAATACCTTTTTGCCAGTTTATGTTTTGCAGTTCTTTACATTTCACTAAGTCTGAAGATAAACTGCTTCAGGATCATGTTTCTAAAACATTACTGTTCTTTTTTTAAAAAAAGGCTCTATGTGTTCTGAAATTTCAGTAACATGATTTTGTCAAACCTTACTTTTACGGAAATACACATTTTTACTGGACTCTGAGCTTTCTTTAGAGATTACCCCAAATTTCCAGTGTAGTCATGGGCATTGCTAGCCATGAAACAAAACTCACAGAGCACCAAAGGCTTAAAACCCCAAAAGGGTTCTCAACAGCTGATGAGTGGCTTCATGTATTAATCAATTGCTAATTTAATTTTAACTCCCTCCATCTTTTTCCCAACCTGCGAGTGAGCTGGTGGCAGTCGAAACCCCGAGACTGTTTAATTGGAGCTATTGATGGGCAGTTGGGATGCACATGGGTTCGGGGACAGACTCAATGTGCCCTTGGCCCAGCTTTGTCCTGCCACAACTGAGCACGTGACTCCACCAGATCTACCTTATGAGGTCAAAAAGATGTGGTTGGTAATTAATGGGTGGTGAATTAATAGGGGCTGAATAGCTGCCCAGGCTTATTGCATCAGGAGGATGAAGCCCAGTTAGTCTGGGGGTGCATGAGCCTGAAGCAGCCCCATGCATCAGCCCTTCACCTTCGTGATGTCCTGAGTGGGAAGGCTGTGCTTTTTCCTCCATGTACACAACTGTCCTCAGGTGTCCTCACCTTTTAGGCTGTGTCACTACAAATACTTGAATCCAGGAGGGAGGGAAATGATCTTAAAATCATCTGTGCTTAAAATCTGTGCTCTGGAGAAGGCCAGCCGCCTCCCCCGCAGCAGCAGGCGCTGCTGCCAGCCTGGCTGTGACGTTCTGTGCAGCCCTGTGCGATGTCTTAATGGCCCTCCAAAAAGGCCAGGATCCAACCTATTTTAGGTCACGCTCAGGAAATAATCTCTTTTTATTGTAAGCAGGGAGACAGCTGTTCTTAGGGCAACAGGAGAAGTGTTGAAGCTACCATGGTCTGGGTAAACTCCCTGGGAATACTGAGCTGCATCACCTCCAAATCTGTCATGCTACAGACCTAGATTTAGATTTTTTCTCTTCCAGTGAGAAAGATGAGGAAAATCTTTATAGTCACAAACTGACATGCATATGTACATGTTGCTCACAGCACTTTCCTGGAAAAGTATAATCCACTTACTGAATTCTTAACTTGCTTCATCTGATTGGAAAGTGTTTAGCTGTTACCATGCGGATCTTGGGATAAGACTAGTCAAAAAGGATCCTGGCAAATTTTCTCCTGTTTTTAAAGTTGCCAGGTGATCCTGGCTGTTTGAACCCTGCAATGGCAAACTGGCTTGTCAACACCAAAGTCACATTTTAACTCAGCTTGGCTTTCTCCCTGGGAGTATTGACATTGCAATAATATTTGCAGTCTGGTGTCAAGAAGTTCTATCACCAGCATGCTGAGGAGCGATGAAACCTGACGTCCTAAGTAACAAACAGTGCCTGTGCATTAAAGGATTAACAAATCAGTGGTGGTTATGGAAGTCTTCTTGGCTTCTCTCCAGGTGCCAAACATAGAGCTGAAATAGTGCTTCATCCAGAGAAACCCGAGAAGGCCGGTGCTGGCAATGATACTGCAAGCTTTACAGGAGGATTTATATTAGTGGACAGTGACACAATGCCCTTTGCTAACTGGTCCATCCTGAGCAAGATTTGTTGCTTTATCTTCTTCGGCATCTAGGGTGTGAAGCTATGCTAAGAAGTGGTGTCTTTCTACCACCTTCGGGCATGGAATTAAGTTGGTTCAGGGGTTCCCAGCCTGCACTTTTTCTTCTGCTTCCTGACATCTCCTTTCTCCATAAGCACTTGAGAAAAAAATTTCAGTGGGAGAGGTGAGAGCTTTCCAGCCCATGGCGAGGTGGCCACATGCGTTACCTGCAGCACAGGTGTGCTGGGATTCACACTTATGTTTTTTCTGGTGACTCATTTGAACATAATAATGGAGAGAGCTTTTCTTCCCCTTGGGAGATCAAGAAGTACCATCTCACAAGCCACACTTTGCAGTGGGAGGAAAGTAAATGGAGAAGTGGATGTTATTTATGATAGCTGTATATGGATTTTTTTGGTTTTGGCTTCTGCTTTCTAGGGAAGAAGATGTGTATTTCTAGTTTGGAAATGAGCTGCTGACATTGCTAACCCATCCGTAATCATCGCTTTTCCCTTTCTCTGAGGAGAAATGACTCCAGTTATACACCTTTCTTTGACTCAGGATTACACTATAATGTTTTGCTGGCATGGCTGTGTTAACTACAAAGTCATGCTCTTGGATGGCATCACTGTTCTGGCAAAATCCCTGGCAGCAATTCTGACAACACACAGCTTTTGTTGTCCTGGTTTATATCAGCTGGAGAGATGCTGTAGAGAATGCCGCTACCAGAAAGTGCTGGTAGTCGTCTGTGCTGTCAGCACAGTGGCAAAGACCCTGCAGAGCAGGTGGGGACCTCAGCGCCCTGGGATTGATGGTGTCAGCCTTTCTCACAAGTGTAGCTGATTTCTGGAAATTTTAGTCAAGATGAACATAAGCTCTGATAAATGTTTGGTGTTGGCTTTGGAGAGCTTCACAGGCATCACTTTTATAATCTCAAATTCTCTAGGGAAGACATGCACTAAGTTCTGCTGTGTGCATGTAGTTCATCTATGCAACATCACGTGGGAGAAGTCTTGGTTTTCCTCTTTGTTGTTGTGTGGAGTGCCCAGGAGAGCTGATGCTAACCTCTCTTTCACGGTGTCTGGTTGACTAGATGAAGGTACCTTCCATATTACTAAGATATAACCCTTTAGATGGAGACCATATTTGCTTTCCGTTCTCCTGCGCTGAAAGTGTCCAAGCAGAAAATAGATCCCTTAAGCTACCTCACACTGCCACTTAAAACTGAAAATGAATTTGTAGTTACTCCCTTTCCCCTCAAAAATAGAGAAACCTCTGTTTCTGAGCTTCAGGAGCTCCAAAGGTCGTTTTTGGTTAGTGTTATAACTAACTAACAAATGGAGTGCATACATTTTAGAGATAATAACAGGGACAAACTTCTGGCCATTCTTTCACATTATTTTGCATTTGTAGCTGACTGTACAATGGCAAAGATTGGACACTTTTATCTAAACTTGAAGTTCACAGGCCTCATCACCCTGTTCTCTCCATAACTAAGTCCTGTGCACTGTGGCCTGGCTGTCAGGGCTTCTTTTGGTTTATAGTCTGTGCTGAGCTGTGTGTGACTTTTCCCTTCAGAACAGGAATGCTAGAGGCATTTTACTACTCAGAGATGTCTAGGGCATGTTGCCCACCTTTGTTTCAAAAAGCCCAGTTTTAAACAGAGCAGATGTATTGGGCAGGCAAGACTCTGAGTAACTGGATGTTTGACAATGAGGTCCTGATGCATCTTTCAGGGAAAATTTCAGATTCCCCTGGTGCAGAGCAGAAATAAAAAAAATTCTTCTCCAGGGAGTGGACAAGCCTTGGGATTTATGAGGAACAGCAGTGTGTTTAATTAAAATTGCCAGATAGAATTCATATTACCAGCAGTTAACAGCATTTCAGTATCTGCCTGCTAGCTGACTGGGATTTAGAGTATCCTTGGAAGATCTTAGAGTGTCCTTGGAAGGTCTTGAAAACTGTGCTTAGTCTTAATTTTAAGAAATTACATGCTTCACCTGTATTAAAAGAATGCAGCTGTACAGATTGTAAAATGTTAGTAAATAATGCCTGTAAATGCTGCTATTATAACAGAGTGGAGGTTTTTGAACTAGGAGCTTCCATGGTAAGGGCATCTACAGGCTCACTCAGTTCTTCTTAGGGAAAAGTGAGCTTGGCACAAACATGCACTCAGCAGTCAGTTTCTAACATATTGCTTTGAAAATGAGGGATAAAAACTGGACCCCGGGACTGAAGAGAGCCTGAGAATCATTAGTACTGTGAGGAACAAAGATGTAAATGCCATTTAGTGGAGAGCTTGATCTCTTCCTGAAGAGCAAAGGATGGAGGAGAAGAAGAAATTGTCCACAATGTGCTGGCTGGC